TGTTTCCTGCAAGCTTGTGTTAGGTTTTCAGCTCCTTGCGTTACGGGATGCACTGGAACCAGGGGAGGAGATTGTTAAAGCTAAGTGTGTGAGCTTAAAGCTAAAACTCTGCTAAGTGTGCAAGCTGGGACACACCATGCAGCTTAAATTGTCGCCTGGTTCCTCACCCTGTGTCATGGGACAGATGTGAAACTGGAACCACAGCACGGATCCAGACTATTCCCAGGTCAGCCGGTGACAGCGAGTGACCCGTGCTGTGGGCTTTAAAGATGTCTCCCTTTTCATGGTGCTTGCATGCCTGGGAAGGTGGGTCTGTGAGATTTCAGCTATTTGAAAACCACAAGAAAACTTCACCCTGTGCAGCATACAGCAAATCTAGCTGCATGCCAGAGCATGAAGGGACATGTTCTGGCGTATATAGGCCATCTGCTTTGCAGTGAAGTTGGCTTTGTTGTTAACTGTGTGGGTGCCTGAACTGCTGCTGAAGAAGACAGGGCTGCTGTCTGCCAGAACAAAGCTCTGAGCTGCAGAGAAATGTGTCTCCTCCCCCTGGAGAAGATGCTTTAACCCACAGTAGGGCTCTCAGCTGAGGCGCTGATTTGGAGAAGAGCAGCAGAGAGCTCTACTCAGGGCAGTACTGCCATGGGAGGGACAGGGAGCACCATGGGTGGCGTATGCTGGTGGAGCTTCTGGGCCCTGCCTGTAATATTCCCTTTCTTTTTCCAGTGTGTTGCATACTTGGAGGCTTTACGCTACTTGAGGAGGCTTTAAATTAGCTTTATCACACCTTGACCATGAATGGGTACTTGGATGAATCCAACTTCATGATGGTGGAGGAGGGCTTCACCACCAGAGACCTCCTGGAGAACCTCCTCGTGGAGCTGTGCCAGGCGGTAAGGGCTGGTGGCTCTGCTGCTGCCCAGCAGCCAGCACTCCCCTGGCAGAGGCTGTCGTGGGGAGGCGACTGCTTCTCACTCTGGCTTTCTCCTAGAGTGACCAGCAAGCCTTCTTCGTGGCAGACCTTGGGGACATTGTGAAGAAACACCTGCGTTTCCTGAAGGCCTTGCCCCGTGTGAAACCCTACTTCCCGGTTAAGTGCAATGACAGTGAAGGAGTGATACGGCTGCTGGCTGAGCTGGGGGCAGGATTTGCCTGTACCAGCAAGGTAGGGTCATGGGAGGACAACTCAGGATGAGCATCCTTTGGGCATTTGTGGGACAATGTCGGAGCTCATGCTCCTTTCCTAAGTTTACACTCACTAGATGATTTACAGGGGTAAGAGTCTCCCTCTGCTGTCAAAACGCTCCCGACACAGCCCAGAAGTCCCCATCCTCTCTGTCTGGTGACTCAGGCTTGCTCACTTTGACCGACATTCCTGTCCCTGGAACTGGTGTCCTGGCTGGCAGGCTTGGCTGGTGGCAAGGCACGTCGTCCCTGAGGTGCCACCACCACAGCCGTCCAACTCAGTGGCTTTCAGGCTGAGCCTAAAGCTCCCTGCTCCCTCCTGCTTCTCGTTTTCTCACAGCCAGATTCCCAGGGAGGATGCAAAGTTAAGCCACTTAACTTCTACGTAATTAAATAGGACGTGTTACCAGGAGGAGAAAGTGCAAAGAGTCGTGACAGCTCAGACCAGTGCTGCAGCCGTCACCCTCGCTGCAGCTCACGGGAGACACATGCACCAAACCCACACCTGCTAAACCCACTGTTTTCTCTCCTCCTGGTCTCATACCGCTTGTAAACATCTTGCCGCAACCTGCCCCTGCCAGGACAAAGTCCACTGTGATCTCTTTGAGCTCTTGCGGGTTTTCCCTGGAAAAGCCCAGGCTGCAATGCTGGCGGTTTGCCCTTCGCAATGCTGCAAGCTGGCC